TTCTTGAACTTGTCACCTTTTAGTCTTCACACATATGGTTTTAGGGTTTGGTCGGTGCCCCAGCCATAAACCATCTGCTTCTTCCCGTATCCGGCGTCTGCTTATCAATAGGACCAGGTGTCTGCTTTTGCTTATCAATAGGACTTGGTGTCTTTGTTCTGCTTAGTAAGCACTTACAACAGACAATACCTTGTCTAGGCAAGTAAATTCCTCTAATGCAAGCAAATTCCTCTAACCCCCCTGTACAACCCCCCTGTACATTGGTCAACCCTCTGCATCACAGTGGTATCTGGGGTAGCTTAGCCTCAAGCTCCGACCCCCTCCCCCCCATGGAATCAGAAGGCTTGCTTTTCTTCTGTCCCATCTTCCAGAGTGCCTTCTCACACACACACAGTCTTTCGCTCCCTGTTCGTGGCCCAGTCCCTCGTCGGAGATGGGAACCACACTACTAAGGGCCGGGATGTGTCAAGTAGACATGTCGAAACTAGGCCAAAAGTCAGGAGGAAGATAGCTTATCTTCATCCCCACAACCACCAAGAGATAGAATACAGCCTTGAGCAACAAGCCCCACATGAGAAGATAAGAACAAGAAGGACACCTCATTCAGCCTCCCCGTGGGTTCAGTGGGTGTGGGGAGGAAGGCTCTTTATCTTCTTTTCCCTACCTAGTTTACTTTAACAGATCCTTGCAGTCTATATGCCAAATGGCAAAGTGTCAAAATTTTCCAGAAACCTTTAAGCAAGCAAGTAACTCTTAAACAATTAACTTTTAAGCAAACAAGATTTGATTAACAAACAGGAATTCACTCATCACAGTCAGTATTTTCTTATTTCTTCTAATTGCTTTTCCCAGATTGATCAGAAACTCTAGGAGATAACCTTCTCCCACTTCCAGAAGACTTTCTCCTTTAAACTGGGACTGATATTGTCTTCCATTTAAATTTTACATGGGATAGCCTCTTCTTTCGACTGAGGTTTAGTTCAAATTCTTAATAGAGCCAGTGGTAAGGCTTGGTATCAGTATCTTGACATATTTTACTAATCTGTGGTTTTATTATCTTTTTAACTTGCCCACTGGCCTGTATGGAACATGTAGTTGCCAATGAATTTCTAATTTTTGCTAATTTCTTGTACTAAAGTTTGAGCCTCTGTCAGAAGAAATTACCTCTGGTACTCCAGAACAAGGTATTACACTGTTTAACAATGTTCCAATTACTTGTCTTGCATTATTTATTCTACAAGGGAATGCTTCTGGCCATCCTGAAAAAGTATTTGTTAACACCAACAAATATTGGTCTCAATAATTCAGAAAAAATTATTTGTCAGTGCTGTCCCAGACAACTTCCTCCCCAGTTGTACCAATTTGATTTCTACTTTCAATTTTAGGGTTATTCTTGAAGCAGAGCTGACATTGTCACTAATTGAACCATGTTATACAGATTCCTTCCTTCAATTTGTTCGTCTAAGTATTTATCTTCCTGAACTAGCTTCCAGAGTTGGCTATAGGGGATTATAATTCGCCCATCAGGTATCTAAACCTAATCTTCTTTGTTTTCCTCTCCTTTGAGAGCTCCAATCAATTTTCTATCCTCCTCTGAATATCTAGGTTTAGATTTCTCAATTGTTAGTTTGCCATCAGGGATTAAGGGAATGAGTTTAGATTGTTCAGCTGCTCATTTGGCTTCAAAATTGGCCAAATTATTTCCAATTTCCTGATCAGATTCACCTTGTTGATGCCCTCAACAATACATAATAGCTACTTCCTCAGGTAGCTGAACAGCTCTTAGTAGTCATAGAATTTCTGTAGCATGTTTAATCTGTTTCTCCTGTGTGTTCAAACATCCTCATTCTTTCCAGATGGCACGCTGTGCATGGACCACACCAAATGCATATTTAGAATCAGTCCAAATATTTATCCTTTTGTCTTTTGCCAATTGCAGGGCACGTTCCAGAGGTTTCTTTCAAATCTGGTTGCCTTGAATATACAGTTCAGTCGGGTGTGAATAGTTCTGTTGGTTGTTCTGCAAAAGGATTCTGGATTGACAACACTGACCACAATTTCTGTATCATGATGTTGCACAAGGGTGGCCTGGTATTTTAAAAAACTTGAAGGAGATAACCAGTGGGCTTCTTTCTGTTCCAGGAATGCTGATACCACATGGGACACTAGCACAGTAACCCTTTGTCCCAAGGTGAATTTGCGAGCCTCTGCAATATTCATGACAACTGCTGTCACAGCCCTTAGGCATCCAGGCCATTCTTTGCTCGCTTCATTCAGCTATTTTGAAAAATACACCACTGCCCTCTTATAGGGTCCTAGTTTCTGAGTAAGGACCACGAAAGCTATTCCCTGTTCTTCATAAGAATATAGCCAAAAGGATTTAGTCATATCCAGAAGTCAGAGCTGCAGTTCTCATTAGCTCTGGTTTTTAATTTCTAAAGCCCTCCTCTAATGAATCAGTTCATTCCAAAGAGAGGGGGGCTTCTTTTAACAGTTCATATAGGGGTCTTACCAGAACACCATAATCAAGCATCTAAAGTCTGCATCATTCAGTCACTCCCAGAAACATATGGAGCTCCTTGACGGTCGACAGTCGTGGAGTTTGACAAATGGCTTCTTTTCTAGCAGTTCCAATTTTTCTCTGTCCTCCGGTTATTTTATATCCTAGGTAGGAAACTTGGGTTTGGATTAGTTGGGTCTTTTGTCTGGTTACCCAATAACCATTCAGTCCCAGAAAATTCAATAATCCCACCATTCATTGGGTACGTTCTTCCTTTGTTTCAGTAGCAATTGATAGGTCATCCACATATTGCAACAGAGTCCCCATCCGAGTGGGTGGTTTCCGTGATTCTAGTTCCAGTGCTAAATTATTTTGAAAAATCATTCGACTGTTTTAATACCCTAGAGATAATACTGTCCAAGTTAATTGGGTTTTCCTTACTGTATCAGGATTTTCCCATTCAAAAGCAAATAAATTCTGGTTTTCTTTGGCCAATGGTAAGCAAGATGGCAAATCATTTCTGATTCAATTTAGTCAATAAGGTATACGGATTAGCTATTACTGGATGAATATCCTCTATAAATGTGTTGATTCCTGAGATCTTGAACCAATCTGCAACTTTATTTCATTACTGGCAAGATAGGAGTATTATATTCCAATTCACATTCAATTAAAATAAATGATTTTTTTAATTTTTTTCTTTTAATTCCCTTTCCTGCAATTTTACGGGATATTGTTTTAGTCTAATTGGGCAGGTCCCCCTTTTTATTTCTACTTTAACAGGCAAAGCATTTTTCGCCTTACCTGGAACTTCAGATGCCTGTACTCCCAGATATACCTGGATTAAGGATTTCTTCTATTTCAGGGAGGTCCTGCTGTCTGCTTTTTCTGTTGAATTAAACATAAACTCAAAACTGCAATTAATTGATTTTAACTCTTAATTCCATTTTGCCTTCTTTAAATGTTGCTTATTGCCCTAATGAAGATTTCAGAGAATTTAGCATGCATAAAAATTTTATGCTTTCCTATTTGTTATCCCAATTTGTACTTTAAGGCTTGCGGTTTTGTTGGGGTTTTGTTTTTTTTTTTTTTATTTTCGGTTTTTTGTTGTCTTTTTTTTTTTTTTCCTTTGTGGCCAGTAGCTCCCACATCTAATTATTTTCCCTCTGATGTAACACCGAATAAGTTGCTCCTGTATCCACTAAAATTCCGCTTTATTTCCTCTAGTCCATAGTTTTAATGTAACCAGTGGATCTGTTAGGGTAGTTTCCACATGTCCCTTGTCAGTCTAGCTCCAATTCAGCCACCGGAGCCACCCCATGGCACTCCCTCCCCTGCAGGGCAGTCTCACTTCCAACGTTCAAAACTCCCCACAGCACACACACACCGATCAGGTCCCATAGGAGAAGAACCCACTTCCCCCACCTTTGCTCGACATACTTCCTCCATCAGTTTCAAAGCACTTCTGTCCACATTTATTCGACAACCCCTCAGTCCCGTCTGTCAGCATGTCTGTTCCCACTTGTTTGCCTGCCCCAGCACTCATCCCGTGCTCAACCACAGGAGCTGAGCGAGCTCCCCTCCTTTCCACTTGGTTTCTTAAAGTGAAAAACATATCTGTATATAGTACCTAATCCCATTTTCCTGGCCACCTCAAAACCAACATTCATTGTAACAACGTATTATAATTCAGAGTTCCACTTTTAGGCCATTTCTCCTGATCTTCCAAAGTATATAAAGGCCACCATTGGCTGCAATATTTTATCAATGTTTTCTTGTTTACCGAGCCCCCAGAAGACCCTCCCAGTTCTTTCCAATGTGCCAAAATGTAACCCAATGGGCTTTTCTTCAGAATCCCCTTGTTTTGACTGACTCCCATTTCAAACAATCTTTTACAAATCTCTATAGCTTCTCTTTCCCAGTGCTCTGAAAATGCACTTTAAAAATATGAGAGCACCTACACACAAATTTTATGATATTCTCAGGGGGTTCAGTAAAATAATATCTCTGGTTTCTGCAGATCAACTCCCCTGTTGTTAGATCATAGTTTCAGTTCTATCAAAATTTACACTGTCCTAGTATCCACGGCAGGTTCCACTGTTCAAAAGTTATTATGCACCCATATGTGAGGCTACAAGCCTCTGTACTGAGTGTAAAGTCCAGGTATCAAGAGTAAGACTACAGACATTAGAGGTTATACTTCTGTTATAAAGCCACTGGGGCGCAGAAGGAACTCTTCTTAACACCCCCACCCCCTCAATAGCAACAGTTTACTTTTGTCTACTCCTCCCCCACCGCTTAAGCACTGTAATCTTTAACACTAACGACAGACATATACACACAAAGCACTTAGACACAACACAAAACAAAGATGCTTCATCTGTCTCCAGCCGCTCTCCTCACGGAGAACACGGAACCGCAGATCAGGACTCCGCACTTGCTTCGTAGCTATGCTACGTCTCAGTCACACAGAAACACAAACACACACATGGGATCCCACACACCCACTGTGATAAACTATAGACTAGGGTATTGTTTATTAAGATTTATGTTAAGCCCAATGTAAAGCTTAGGCAACAAAAGATATGAAATCGCTTATGCAAACAGCCACCAGACACAGCTTACGCAAGATAAGATAACCGCAATCGCTTACACAACTAAACCAGATACCGATTGTGCAAACTGAAGATAACTGCAAGATGCTCCAGGAAATGGAAGAAAGTAAGATAACAACTCCATATAAGGACATATGAGTAAAAGGTCAACTATGTGAAGCATGCGCAGAGTACCTCCACTACTTCATGAACACGGAAGTAAAGATGTATAAAAAGGGGCTGTTTGAACTGCTCTTCACGGCAGTTGGCGGAGCGCAGACTCCCCTGTCGTCCAGCGCTGTTTTTGCTCATATTCTACTTGCTATAATTAATAAAATTTTAATTGGATTATGATCCGTTGTGGTCTCAATTTATAACAATTTCTGGTGCCGTGACTCGGATTAGGAACGGTGGGCTTTGGTCCTCCGGGGAGGCGCCCCGCGACATTTCGCTGCCCCGTGACCAACAGCTTACCCCAACCTTACCGACGAACCTAAATTCTAGAATAATGAGCAAAGGAAAAACCGGTAAAATCCCATAAAAATTCTGTGCACGGGAGTCTGGACGAAGACGCAGGACGCGTAAGTATATTGCGAAGTTGTTCGCGGGTTTGCCGTTCAGGCGGGATTGGGTTTCCTGGAATATAACGAGTGAGAGGTTCGATATACTGAACCAAGCGAGTGTGGACCCTTAAGTACTGCGTTTCCCATCTCCCGCGAGGGACTGGGCCAGGAACAAGGGGAGCAAGTGAGTGGATGTTTGTAGATATTCCAGAAGATGGGGACGAAGGGCAGCAAGCCTTCGACTCCCATGGGAAGGGTACCCACTGTACCTAAGAATACCCCTCTGGCATATATCTTAGACAATTGGAGAATATTGTACTAAGATATGGGGGGGGAAGAAGATTTCTAAGAATACCCCTCTGGCATATATCTTAGACAATTGGAGATATTTTCCCTGGAACCCTAGGGAAAGATGAGCAGAAAATGATAGAATATTGTACTAAGATATGGGGAGGGAAGAAGATTTCTAAAAATGTCTTTTGGCCAGTCTATGGGTCAGAAGAAGATTGGGTAAGACAGCAATTAAACCTCTGGGTTAATAATAAAAAAAACTCCTTAACCCGGAGGAGAGTCAATATGCGGAAGTGTGGCTAGAAAGACCGGGAGCTAGACTTTATCCGCTGAATGAAATAAAAAACTAAACAAAAGAAAAAGAAGGAAGAGTTAGACGAAACCCTTCTAACCCCCTCTCCTTACATTCCTCCTCCTGTTCCTGCAACCCCTCCAGAGGTCCCCAGAGCGCCCACTCCCCCACCAGGATCGGAACAAGGGTCTCCCCCTCCTCCTAGACGCGTAACTAGAAGTCAAAAAGGGGCAGCTCAGATGTACCCCCTAAGGGAAATACCCATGGGGGGACCTCAACCTGTGATCGGATATATTTCCGTACCCTTAAACTCGGCTGACCTACGAGATTTTAAAAGAACCAAGATGGGAAACTTAATAGAGGACCCACTTGGAGTAGCAGAAAGATTAGATCAATTTTTGGGACCAAACCTTTATACTTGGGATGAGATGCAATCTATCCTTGGTCAATTATTTACTACCGAGGAAAGAGATATGATTAGATGAGCAGGAATGAGACTGTGGGATGCTCAACATGACCAGGGACCTCAAGCAGATATTAAATGGCCACTCCAAAGACCTAATTGGGATAATCAGGATCCGGTGCATAGAACTCATATGCAGGACCTGAGAACTATAGTAATTCAGGGAATTAGAGAAGCAGTACCCCGTGGCCAGAATATCAATAAAGCATTTAATGGAATTCAAAAGAAAGATGAAAGCCCTACTGAGTGGCTGGAACGACTGAGGAAAGCCCTTGTACTCTGGGGTAAATCCAGAATATTTAAGCATTCTGTTGAAGCCTATGAAAAAAAAAAACAAAAACAAAAAAAAAAAACAAACAAAAAAAAAAAAACCTGGAACTTAATTATGTAATATATACACTATATTGTATATAAATAATTTGGCCTATGAATAGGAAATAGTTTTTCTAAATTAAATGTTTTGATGAAGATAAATAATTTCATTTTTTTATGATTAAATTTTTATCTGGGTAATCTAGCATTTTTATTCCAACTGATATCTACTCTTAAAAAAGTAAAATGTAATAATTGCTTTTAGTATGGCTTGTGTGTTGTATGGATGCTGGATTCCAAACTGGCGAAGATACTTCCTCATCTCCAATTTTACTCATTCAGATATGGTTTGAAAATTAATAACCTTACTTTTGCTTTTTGATAATTTAATACAAAGTTGATAATTTGTATTTTTAAAAAAAAATAATTAATTAAAGTTTTATTCACATTTTTTATCTTGAAAGACTGTAGTCTGTGATAATAAGATTATTTATTTTTTTTTTACTCTGGGAATGGTCAAGTCTTTCTACTCTAATAATTGGAGGGAAATCTTTGATTGCTTTTAATGGTTTTTGAAGGTAAGCATTTTGTAAGAAATTTTGTTATGCTGAAGTGCCTGTGTTTGCATGTACAAGTGTTTAATATTTGATTTTATCTCAAGAAATATGAACAGCAGCTTTTTCATTGGGTTTGTGAAAGCAGGAGTTTGCAGTTGGCCTTTCCATCTGACTCCACTGCCAGATACAGCCCTTTTAAGGCAGTAAATTTCTAAGTCTGACACTTAGTAGTATCACTGCTATGAGATATAGTGATTTAGTGTCAGTAAAAGAGAATTAGTCAGATCTTGAATATTGTCACACATATTCCTGATCAGTAATATTTACTGAAAAATACTTAATCTGGGATTATTTTAAAACATTTCACTAGAAAGGTATTATTCCAAATATTTTTGTTACAGAAAATTAAAAATATGAATCATAATAAAATCATTTGTATTTTGCCCTAATAATTATGTATACATTTTATGCTTGAAATCTGTTTATATCTCATTTTCTTTCTTGATTTACTGTTACTTGAACACATTATATCTCGATATGGAGTACCTGAAGTAATCGACTCGGACAGAGGAACACACTTTGTGTCAAAAATTGTTAGAGATCTAACAGAAAGCTTGGGTATTAAGTGGCAATACCATACACCATGGCATCCGCAAAGTTCGGGAAAAGTTGAAAGGATGAATGGAGAAATTAAAACTATTTTGACTAAATTAATGATAGAAACCAAATTATCATGGATTAAGTGCCTACCCATGGCACTATTAATTCTCAGAACCAGACCCCGAGCAGATGTAGGAATATCAGCGTTTGAAATGGTGTATGGAATGTCTTATAGAATTGAAAGTCCACAAACAAATGTTTTAATTCGAGACCGTGTGATTAACGAATATGTTTCACAATTAGCAGAACATCGTAACAAGCTTTGGGAACATGGACTGATTGTGCAACGACCCCTGTTGGACTTAAAAATTCACAATGTTAAACCTGAGGATTGGATATTGATTAAAGTGTGGAAGGAAGAAACCCTAAAACCCAATTGGGAGGGACCTTATCTTGTTTTGCTTACAACAGAAACAGCTGTCCGAACTGCTGAGCGTGGATGGACTCATGCCAGTCGCATTAAAGGCCCAGTGACGAGATCCCACTGGAAAGTAATCAGTACTCCAGGTGACACCAAGATAACCCTGAAAAGATAACGTAATGATAAAGACTTTATTTGATTATTTTGCCGCATTACCTTTTGGCATAAAGTGTGTATTGCTGTTTATATTTGCTATAATTATTTCTCTTTTTTCTATTATATATGGAAGCGTACAAAGTGTGTTGAAGGAAATTGCTAAACTTATGCAACCACACAATAGTGAATATAGAAGATATACTGATGTAAATAATATATGTACTCTAGATATACGAATTAAGTGTAATAATTTGAACTGCAATTGTTATCCATTTGCTTGTTTTAGGTGTAAGGTATGCCAGGATAAATGGTGGACACACTGTGAATATGGATACCCTCCAATAGGAGTTTGCACACAGTGTTGGAAAATCCAAAGAACTCTCACTGAGTGGAAATTAAAACAATTAGAGTCTAAACAAGAAATTATTCGGGAATCCCATGAGTGGTGGGAGATTTTTGCCAAAGGAATAAACCCTCAATATTATTGTTACCACTCCAACGAACCAGTCCCCTGTGTAGCTGAAATTTTGGTTATAAAGTGTAGAAGGGAAGTACTAACCGTGTCTTGCTTTGCCCCATTAGTTAAAGCTGCAAAGTGGGAAGCCTATGTAAACAGGCAGAAAGCCCGAAACAACTGTTCTCCTGAAGAATTCCCTTGCTGCCGAGAAGATGGTACACCCCGTGGCTCGAAGCAACCGAGTCGACGGGCGAGGCAGAGGAGGAACAAATTGTGGAGAAAAGAACCAGAACAATGGGACGCAAAAGCAGCAATGGCCAAACTTCCCCAGGACTGGTAAAAATATACTTAAATTGGCAAAATTAACAGACACCCTTTTTCCTGGTATACCGTTAGTTTTGTTATTGATAATAACCCAAGCAAATGGAAACCCTCATGAACCTATGGTATGGAAGATACATAACTTACAGGAAACACATGCCATTCAAAATATTACAACTCCGGAAAAGGTTAGATCAACGTAAGAAAGATCGTGAGGCGGGCAGGTCATGGTATGAAAACTTGTTTAATGTTTCACCTTGGCTAACCACTTTGTTGTCTGCTTTAGCAGGACCGCTTATTATGTTGATTCTGGGACTTATATTTGGGCCTTGTATATTGCGCTATATTTTACACTTTATTAGAGAACGGTTTGTCATAGCTAAACTGCTTATTTTAACTACGAGGTCTGGGGCAAAATATAAGAGTGTATCTATTAATGAGGATGAAGATTATTGTGAATGTGTTATGCCACGTGAAAGCTATGCCTATTGTAATTGTGAGGTATTGCCTTGTGAGTGTTATGGTAAATGTTGGGATTGTGGAAAAAGGTTTGCTTACAGTGCCGAGAATGAAAGCAGCGTCTAATAAACAATAATAGGATAAAAAGAAAAAGGGGGGATTGTGATAAACTATAGACTAGGGTATTGTTTATTAAGATTTATGTTAAGCCCAATGTAAAGGTTAGGCAACAAAAGATATGAAATCGCTTATGCAAACAGCCACCAGACACAGCTTACGCAAGATAAGATAACCGCAATCGCTTACACAACTAAACCAGACACTGATTGTGCAAACTAAAGATAACTGCAAGATGTTCCAGGAACTGGCAGAAGTAAGATAAACAACTCCATATAAGGACATATGAGTAAAAGGTCAACTATGTGAAGCATGCGCAGAGTACCTCCACTACTTCATGGACACGGAAGTAAAGATCTATGAAAAGGGGCTGTTTGAACTGCTCAGTACGGCAGTTGGCGGAGCGCAGACTCCCCTGTCGTCCAGCGCTGTTTTTGCTCATATTCTACTTGCTATAATTAATAAAATTTTAATTGGATTATGATCTGTTGTGGTCTCAATTTATAACACCCACACTATGGTTCCGCTTACCCTTCTCCTTCTTCTTAAGGTAGAAGGTCTGTCCTGCTTCC